CACATTATCTGTCCTCTGTGTGTCTCTAATGAAGACCAAAATGTTTGTAGGCCAGAACATCTTTCAGAGTCATGGTCTATTATGTCACCAGCTTTATAAAATGCAGGCATTTGGGATAAGTGCAAACCAATTTCAGCCCTGTGGTTATGACCAGAATTAGATAATAATGCTTAAATGAATAAAATTATTTTAAGAATATACCTGTTATGAAAATGTGAATGGTAAGGTGAAACATGAAGAAAACTACTTTTTTTGCAGTGTCCAAATTATAATCATCACAAATTATAACATTTAAAGATGACTACAGATATGTTAGTATGATCATGTATTTTTTCTGATAGTACAAATCTTGTATGATCTACAGATTCTTATGTTTAGACATGTTGGCTGCACCTTCAGATTGTTGAAATTTGTATTTTACAGAAAATTCATCAGTAAAAAAGCTTAGTGTCTAAACAGAAATAAGGTTACCAGAAAATTTCAAGAAGACTAGTGGATTTTTTGACACTCAATCAGGTGGACGGCTTAAGCAAATATAATAAATTTACTAACTGCTCTGAAGAGTCTTACAATATCTTCATATTACCTTTAAAATGCATCAATATAACAGTTATCTGCGCATTGAACAGGTTGTGTTGAAATTAAATAGGCGATAAAGAAAATATACCTCCTGATAGTTACTGTGAAATGTTACAATTAATCCCTGTAGGTTAGATAAAGCTATAGAGTGTAAGTTTAAAACATTGAAATTTTAAGTTGCATAAGCATTCCCTCACTAAACCCTGAGTTATGAGAGCATCTATTACAGTACTTTGCAGCTATTTGCATTTAGATATCCTATAAATAAATTATTAAATACATTATTTAAAAAGTTTTGGCCTGCTATGTGATTTCTGCCATGTGTACAAAGTGGGATAGCTTTGTAAGTCTGAAATACACCCTAAAGTAGTTAATGATGTAGAGACATTAAAATATCATCTTAGTTGTTATGTTCAACCTAGACTTTCTTGCTAAAACCTTCTTAAAATTACTGAATAACTCTCCTGTGCATTAGGATTTTGGTATCACAGTTTTATGTATTTTCTGTAATAATTAATGCTGTGATATTTGACAGCAGGGCCAAATTGCATTGTTACTGTTAATTAACCATGGATTTTAGAAAAGAAACAGGGAAAAAAACCCACCGATACTTGGAAATACAATTTCAAATTATTTTTGTAAGTGCATTTGTTTTAATTGTTAAGAAATATGTCTATAAATTTCATATTTTATAGGAATATTACTTGGACATATCAATATCTCTTTTTCTTTTTATTATTTAAATTGAAGCAGGGCATGTAATTTATCAAAAAGGAGACAAACTATTTAACTATTAACTATTAACTAAACAATTTAATTTCCTTCCCTAAATCTATTTTTCTTTGAGGTTGAACTGGGCCATGAGAAACTCTGTAAATTCATTGTAATGTAATGCTTGTGCTTTAGAAAACCATAGTATTTTCAGCAACTCTAGTAGATGTCACATGGTTAACTAAAACATGTTTCTCAGTGCAAATCCATTGCTGAGCCCACACTGGGTCAGCATTGACTGAGGAATTCATTAGGAACAACAGAAAGAAGCTACATGAGTGTCTCAATGACTTTTCCAAAGACCGTGAGAATTCATAACAAAGAGGAAACTATGACAGAAAATAGAGGTGAATTTTTGGCTGTGTAACCAATGAATGTTTTAATTTTGTAACTCATTAGTGATGTAAACTTGTGAGAAGAAGGTACATGCATGTGATAGATAGGGAGCATGCTGTCCTTGTTGAAGCCTTGTCAGAACAGTCAATGGGCATTGAACAATGCAAGAGCAAAGGGCTGAGCAGCCATGCTGAAAGTACAATTAGTATAAGTGAGAAACTGGAGAGGGGATTGCTAGCAACTCAGATGTCTCACAAAATAAAAAGTTTCCATTTGTTGACAGAAATTTAGTCTACTTGTAGCATTACCTAAATTTATATACATTTGCATTACTGGAACAATCCATTCTGAGGTTATCACCTCATTCACATGTGTCAAGTTCATATGTATTTTATGCCAATGAAGAGAAAAATACCTAAGTTAAGATTAGGAGTTAGAATGTTGGGACCATAAATGCGTATGGAAGTATTAAAGTCCAGAGAGATTACATGAATAGACCCATTTGTACATTAATGTTTTACAAGAGTGTCACTCTTTGGGAGAAGGTCAGAAATATTGGAGTGTCTTCTAGTTATTCGAAGTAGTCATGTAACAGTAGCAGTAAGGATCAACATTATTGAGAAGGTTTCAAGACTATGAATATACATTTCCCTGGAGAGGACATTTGCATTTTTTCAAGAAGCGAATTCCACCTTTGTTAAGTAATGCCTTGATAGAAATATTCCAGAAAATACCAGAAGAAATGAAATGACAATACTCATTTTCAATTCTGAAAATACTGAATTTTTCAGAATGTGATTTTCCGAAGTAAGAGTGTGTACCACACTGAATTGCTGCACCTTGGCTGTGAGCCTGCCTGCCCTCAGAGGAGCAGAGACTTGCCAGAGAGGTGGGACACAGGAAAATGTTCAGGCAAGAACAGCAAGCCCAGACAGCTATTGTGTCTGCGCCCTGTGGTGGGGGTGGAGACGCACTATAGGGAACTCCAAAGAGGCAGTACAAGTCATCCCTATCTCTGCCATGGGGCTGTGTCTGCAGCTCTTCTTCCTGGAGCAGATCTCCCACCTGTGTCCAGGCTCTTCTGTCAGCCCAGGTGCACAGCTTAGGTAGGTGGGGAGGTGTCCACCTGCTCTGAGGCATCACCATGATGAAGAGAGTGGAACAACCCAAAGATAGATGCAGTGTTCCTTTCATGTAGCTTCTGTATTAAAGTTTTGTTTGAAAGGTGGAAATCAATCTGCATTAGATCACATGAAGCATAAATTATTCAGCATGAAACAGTTAATACAAATTTTATTCCCGTATCGTCCATCAAAACCCATCAATTTATCCCTACTAAGGTACGACAGAAGGAATTAGATAAAAAAATCTATTGTAAAAGCCTTAAAACAAACAATAATTGCTTCAGCTGATGTTTTAAAATTTGTTTTTGAAGTACCCATGCATTTTTGTAAGTACTGAAAGGTACCCAGTATATTTATGAATAAAAGCAGTTCCTGGGTATAAGACACATTTTAAATTTACTAAGAATATGTCACCTTAGGGTACTTTTAAACATAGACTCTGTAATTATGTGGAAAATTACATGAGAAATTAAAATTCTACTAATGATTATTATTCTTCATGTTTCTATATGAATCAACAACAGGAATTACATTTTAATAAATACAGAAAACATAAATAACTTCTTTGGATTTTCCTTCTAATTCTATCTCCATTAACAGGCCTTTATGTCAAAATCCTAGTAAACAAAGGGAGTTTATTTGTTTATTCCTGTGATTTTCTGAGAGGGAACTTTATGGTATTGTCTTAAACCAGATCAAGAGCATATTGATCCTTCTGCAATAAGATCCTTCTTTATGTTACTTTTTCCTGATTGCTTATTTTTAAAGGGGAAGAACATTATCTGAGATGCTATCATCCAACTTAGTTTCTGTAGTGCCACTATTAGACATCTTCAATAAAAATAAAATTATTAATAATTGCTTCTATACATAGATTTATAAAAGAATTACTATCTCAACAGCAGAAGACTTACATTTCAATTAAAGCTTCTAAAACACAATATACATTTTAACTACTTCTGATGCATCCTTATCAGTTAGTACAGTGTTCAGCTAACTCTTAAAGTTTGCAGTTTTTGAGATTTCTTATTTATGGGGGCTATTTTTGGGGTAAAGGAAGGAGAATAATGCATGGAAAGAATTATTCACCTCTAATCTCTACTGCAGAAAATCCTTGCATACCATGTAATTCCCTTTTTTAATTAGTATATAATTTTACTTCAGCCCACAGGCAAAATAGAAGGTTCACTGTTTGGTTGCTACCTATAGCTCTACAGTGACATTTCTCTTGAAATTAGAAACAAGAGAAATATAGTTAACACAGTACTGGTCTCAGAGTCCAAGTCATCAAAAAGAAAAAGAAAAGTGGCAGTTTTAGTTTTCCAATATTTTCACCATCTGAGGTGGCATTGTTTCAAGTAATGCAAGCCAGCAGGGCCAAAGGGTTTGTTTGTATCCATCCTTTCAATTATAACTCTAAGACAGTGGATTTTGACTTGTAGTGAAAGTAAACATGAACGGTGAATTTGTGTGGTCAAAATGAAAAACTGAAATGTTTAATTCCTTTCAGCATTTAGATAGTCTTTCTGACACAAATCCAATTGTTTTTCATTCACTCATAAATAAAGCATGGGACAGATGTGCTAGGTTTACAAATTGCTGGAGAAGGAGATGGTGTTTATAGACTGCCTTTTCTTTTGCCTCTGTTGCTAGAGATAAGAGAAATCCAAATTGACTTCTTTTCTCTGCCTGAGGCATTTTGAACTCACAGCTTCCTTGTGTCTGAAGCATGCTCTGTGTTTCTGTATGTAGCAGTATGGCTTCAGCTGCTCATGGCTGCTCTGAGATTTGGTAGTGGAAAGTGCTGCAAAAAAAATAGAGTACTGAGATGATCATTGGATTTTGGAAAAGCAAGACAAGTATCATGCTGAAAGGACAGAGTAACTGTTTTTTCATCTGTATCCTATGCTAGAGGGATGGGGTGAATTTCTCTTTTTGCAGCCTCCACAAACACACCCTCTTCAGTGTGTCCAGCAATTATGTATGTACTTCCAAGGGCACTCATTTGGGGCATTACCCCTAAAGCCTCCCCATTAGCCACAGTTTCCCATTAGATCTCCTTCAGACCCTGAGCTGCTGCTTCTGCAAATGTTATCACCAGCCAGGTCATGCTTTGTGCCAGCTGTTCTTCTTTCTCAACAGCCATAAACAGCAAGTGAAAACCTCAGCAAATTCTGTCTTCCTTCTCAGGTCCTACACCAGAAGCTGACTTCTCACAAGCTGCAGAGGAGGTGAAGTGTTCTGACTCTTTGACTTCCCTCCCCACAGTCCTTTGAGTAAAGCCATATTCTCTTGTGGATGAGTGGAGTTACCTGACACTCATTGCAGCAACAAAGGCAGCTGAGCCAACCGTTCTCTCCTGGAGTAAGTTTAGACATTCCTTAAAATAGTCTAAAATTTGGTTCTCAAAGTAAAATAATTTTGGTTATCCTGAGACTTTTAATGGAAAATTTCAGAAAGCTGTAACTAGCAATTTACTGTTCAGCACACACTCTGTGTTGGTGGGTGGAGTGGTAAGACCACTCAAAATGGAGTCTGGTGGTGGTATGGAAAAAGGCTTTTCAGAAATGAACTGGCAGCTTGTTATTTGTACATTATATATTTTGCAGTTTTGATACAGTACATGAAAATTTTCTTACAACATCACTGAGCTTTCAGCTGATTGCTGACTTACAGTTGAGGTTAGTGTAGTGATTTATATGCTCACATGCTAAGAATTTCCTATATTTCTTCCTGTTCTTCTGTTTCTTTGTTTTCTTATTGGAAAATTGCTATGGCACAGGTAAAACTGTTTACAGAAGTAAATTTAGTATCTTGACTTTCAGTGATGCTTATAAATTGATGCCTTTTTTGTTATCTAGGGAATGTATTTTGAAAGTTCAGTATTCCTTTGCAAACATTTCCTATGTTGTTCCAACAACTATGTTGTTCCAATTATTGATACAGATGCTTCAGGTTATTATCCAGGACATGTTTGTGGCTACAAAATACAAGAATTGGACATAAAAGCAGTTGTTCCAGTTTTCAACACTAAAAAATTATTGTATTGCTCTTACCTAGATGCTCTTTGAGATATTAAGAGTTAAGAGATGCTTAGATAACTTTAAAGGGAAGTGATTCTGAGGAATAATATATTTTTAAATATCAGTAGTGAAGAAAGTTTGCCTAGGTTTAGCAACATAGGTATCTGCTGAGGAAGGCAGAAGCCTCCCCTGAAATGAAAAAATGTAGACCCCTTCCCTCCAAATTGTTACAAATTTGAAATTAAGGGGCGCTCTCAGGCAAAAATATGGGAATAGTAATAATAGTTCTTTATGAGGGAAGAAAATAAAAACATAAAATAAACAATGCAGTAAACCAAAACAACACTGACAGAGTCAGAATACAACCTGACACGCTGTTGGACAGCAGTCCAATTGGGAATTATGGCTGTAGTCCTCCTGGAGTGCCAGGTGTGGTTCTGTTGGAGTAGTGATCCTGTAGAAAAGGGTGTAGTCTTCCTATGAAAAGGCAATGGAAGAGGCAGCTGTTCCTCTGGGAAAATCCAGCACAGAAAAAGTGGTGCTGGTGGGCCAGAATCTCAAGACAATATGCAGATAGGAATGCTTGGCTCCTCCCTCTGGCCAGAGCATCTCACAATGGGATGTTAAACTTCTTATCAGTCATGCAGTGACACTCAACGGCCCATTGTCAGCAGGTGTCTCCCAGGAGGATTGCTTGTGGAAGAGATAAGGAAAAACTGCCCACTTAACACAAGACAACTGCCATATAGATGGTAAATAGAATACATCTTGTTTTTCAATCTGGGACAAGAAAATTCCATCACGCTAAAGCTACAACTTTGCTCTTTGAGTTTGCAGGAGAAACATGGAGCCATTTTATTTTTCATGACTATTTTAACCAGGTAAGAATTTCCAGTAAATACTTCTCCATTTTGCTGTCCAAAATGCAATTTTTTGTACACTTCCATGCATACACACACACACACACACACACACACATGTGGACACAGAAAAACTAAACAAAAACCCCCCAAAAAATGAAAAGCCACTATGAAAACAATACAGCGTGCATTATGTCTGGAACAGAGGGAATTTTCCAAGTTATAGACTCAGCAGTCTTTCCTTCCCCTTTTGCTCCTATAACATGATCTGTAACACATATAACAATGTTATGTCACAGCTATGTAATCACATTCTGGAAGCTCATTTCTAGGACTGCTCAAAATAAACTAAAAGGCATAAAAGTGCCTAAGAAGAATGTAAATACTGATATTTCTAATAAACTGCTATTTCCTCTTTTTTTGAGTAGGGGATAAGAAAGCTAATAAGTAGATTTTAAAAGAGGATGCAGAGGACCATCTATTGTGTATATACAGGTATTTGCAAGAGCTGTTGAAACATAAGTTGATCCCTGAAAGGGGAAGTTTGCATTAAATCATTGTATATTTGCAAAAGTTATAAATTCCTGTATTTATTTTTATAATCACGTACATTTATAAGCACGTACATTCTAGTAGAGTAATCAAAAATTAGAGCTCTTTTCAAGGTTAACTTTCCTGGAAAACATGTAGTGTTTTTCCATAAGGAGACTTCCAAATGTCTTCAATGTAAATGTCTTGCCAGTTTGATCTCTTTCGTGCATATATGCTGCTGAAAGTACAATGCATATGAAAATACCAAATAATATCCCAATATTACTTTCACCTTCCAATCTAAAAATATATTTAGTCTCTGTTGTGGTTTATATTCCATTTCTTCCTTATACCATGATTTCCTTAGAAGCTCAAGAAAGTAACTGAGTAAATCTTGGTAAATGAATTCATAGAAGTATTAATATTTTTATTTCACAGTGCAGAAAGACTCAAGCAGTTGATGGAACTCTTACTATTCTGCCTGCTGGAAAAGGGCTCTGGCTGGGTGGGTGGGAAGTCTTCCAACAAGCTGTTGAGGCGTGTAGTAAACTCTATTCATTGGACTGAGGACCTCTACTGGATTTTGAGATTTCTGCCCCAGATTCAATTGAAAGCTACTCAATCATTTCTAGTAGCGAAAGCTTCCTAGAAACAAAGATAGAATATCCCAGTGTCCAGCAACCTCACAGAAACCAGTTTTAAAGAAATTAATTGAATTTGAGTATTTTGACTAACCAGAATAATAATGAATAGTAATATTCATTAATAATAATAATAATAAATAATAGTAATAACAATGAATTACTGTGTGCCTTTAGTCACATTGGCGTGTTTAGGGAGAACAGGATAATGTAATTTCAGTAATCTCCATATATCTACTATCAGTGAAATTAATACTTTTTCTTGTTTGGCAAAATATTTGTGCCAAATGATAAAGGCAAAAATAAATCCTGTAAAAGCACATAGTAATGAACAGCAAGTGGTTAGCTAGAAAAAAAATGCATCAAAGAATTTATAGATTTTTTTTTTATGTCTTTTAAGTCCTTTTGGCTTGCAAAGTAGGCCTAATCTTACAAGGCTGATGGATTGCTTGAGTAATTTGAAATAGATAAAAGATCAGTAAATGTCAAAGAAAATAAAAGGCAGAAATATTGATAGTTACATTGTGTCCTACATGTCTCTTTTCACCCATATAGTTTTTGGGTTTTTTTTAAAAAAATAAGGAGGTGGAGGGCTGCCTGCTCACTTATCATCTATCCTTCTTAGCTTCAGGCTGAGTAAGAAAAGGTTACTCCTGTCAACTGGAAGATGTACTCTGGGGAGAATGATTTTCAAACCATTTACAGGTCATTTTAAGACATATAATTATACAAAAACCTCTAAACTATAAAAATTGAAAGTTTCGTTTTTAATAATAGCAGATGCAAGTCTTTTAAAGCATTTAACTATTCTTTGTGAACTGTCAGTTGTAGTGATTTTAATGTCCCTTTCCCTGACTAATAAAAGATTTTTTCCTTTCTCAAGTAGATTATGCTGTATACCAAAGTAATTTATTTTTATGCATTGAGTGCAGGTTCACGGGGATGTTTATTATTTTCCTGTTTTCTGTCATATAGTCAGCTCCAGGTACTGACTGTTTTAAAAGCATGCCACAGGATATCTGAATTTTTACAGAAAAAATATTGACTTACATGGGGAACTGGGTGCTAGTATATTTTCTTACATACCAGACCTTCCATGTTTTAACTTTCTGCCAAGAACTGTAAGGCAGAGATTGCAAGGCCCTCAAATTAATTAAAGAGGTATTGGACGCAGTACTGATAAGGAACTTCCCAGAACTAGATACTGGATATGACATACTTTGGTAGCAATTCCAAATGCAAGCCTGCTTCATCCGTGATATTTTTTGTTTCAATATTTACTTACTCTGATATGGCCTATGTGAAACTACCTAGACAAACTTTGTAAGCAACTTCCCAAGTGTTTTAGTAAATATACTTTACAAATCATTAGAAATAAAATGTTGCATCTCTTTATTTTACTAATCTTTGTTCTACCTCTAGTTGACACAGATATGCATTCAAACTAATTAAGGAAATTTGCTTTGACTCAGCATGAAAATAAAGGCAAAAATAAGGGTATATGAAAATAGTATCTAGTATTACCTAGCTGTCATGGTTTGACACAGAAAAAGAATTTTTCAGAAGGAAGAGGTCAATTTGGATATTGACCAATTGAGGGTGGACACACCTCTGAGAACACAGAGGGTTAAAAGCAGAATTCCCAGGGGAACTCACTCTCTTTGGTTCCGCTCAGCCGCAGTGCAGCCTCTCCCCTGCCCGGCCGTGGCTGGTGGGGAGGGGAAGGCCCATGGGCTGGCTGAGGTGGGCCAAGGGTGGAGGGACTGGAACCGGGCTGGCCCCTGCAGATGGAAGGGTGGAGAAATCTGGGATGTCTCTGTCCCCCCCCACCAGAGTTTCTCTACCGAGAGGGAGAGAGAAAGAGACAGCAGCAGTCTTGTCAGCAATTTCACCGAGGGGAAGGAGGAGCCGGGGGGGCCGCAAGGTGCCCAGTGCGTAGGAGCCACCGGAGAATCCGGGCAGAGAGCCAGCCAGGGAGTCAGGACTTTTAACCCTTCCTTGAGAAATGAAAGCCTTGTGAATTTTTTCCCCTCCTCGGTTTGAAAGAGAGGAAGAGAAAGAGAGTTTGGACCCTGGGATATTAGAAGGAGAAATTCTAGATGGGAGGGGGACAAGGAGTGGCTTTTGGCTGGACTTTTTCCTTGGTAGCCACTGACTGAAATCAATTTTCTCCTTCAAGAGAGACTGTATTTTGGGAGGATGCCAGTGAGTCAAGAGACCTGCTTCAGCTGGGAAAAGACAGAAGTGGAACGAACAGAGAAAAGTTAGAGGGTTTGTGGTGGTGCCCTCTGTCCTCAGAGAAGGAGAAGAGAAGAAGATCTCTGTTCTTGGACCCTCGTCCCCAGGGGAAAAATGGGGGGGGACTGTGGTCCCAAACAATGAAAAAACTGAACTGTTGTTTTCTCCCCTCTTGGCAGGGCATCCTTGAAAGGAAAAATCCTAAAAGCAGTCTGTCCATCCATGCATTGGTGGTGAGAGCACTGTGCAGGGAAAGGAGCAAGGTCACCATGGCAAACTTTTTCTCCGGGCGGTTCCATGTGTGACATGGAAACACAGGATGTGGAGCTGTGTTTTCTTGGGGGGTCTGTGGCACAGGAGAGACTCTGTTCCCTCGATGGACTGAGTATCAATTGTCTGGAGGGTGGAAACCTGATTGGTGTCCAGATTGTGTCTCACTGTGGTTTGTTGGAGTTGGGTGGTGGGGGGAGGAATGCTTTTGCAAGGTTTTCATTTTGATCTTTGTGTGTTATTTTTTTTTCCTTTCTTTTTTCCTTTTATAGTAGTAGCTTAATAAAGTTTTTTTCTGTTATTAAGCTTGGGCCTGCTTTGCTCTGTTCTCGATTGCGTTTCACAGCATTCAATTGAGAGATTGCATTTTCATGGGGGCACTGGCATTGTGCCAGTGTCAAACCATGACACTAGCTCTTATGTTAAAAGAAATGCTGCAAGAATGAATAGGTGGGTTCCCTGGACCATAGGAGATTCCCTTGGAGCATCTCAGATACACAGCTTTAATCTGAGAAAGCATCAGTAGGCCTCAGGTTTAGGTAGATGTTCATCTGCATCCCTCCATACTCAGGGAAGGATGCTGAAGAAACAAATTGTTCACCACTAACAGTGTAGGGTTTATTTGTTTCACAAGTGTAGCCAAACCTCAACAAGCATCAAAACTCTTTTTTAGTGTTTTGGCTTGTATGTTGAATATTTCAGATTATTCACTTCTGAAAATAAACAGAAATCTGTAGAGCCTGAAAAGGACAGAGTGAAATAAAATGCTAGCTTGTAAAATGTTGATTAAAGTTATTGCTTGGATCTCAAAAAAAACTGTAACCAAACCAGAAATGCAGCCAAATTTTATTTTACAGAGTGAAGTGCCTCATATGCTCGACTGAATTTATGGTTTGATTATTGTCTACTGAGCATATGGTACAAATTATTTCATAACCCCTCATGAAGCAATGCTCAAGTACTTTTCTTTTTAAATGAACTTACAGCTAAACAATTGATGTCTTCTCTTGAAGAACCATCCCAGACATTAAAGTATTTGTCAGTTCTCAGTAATTTCCAGAGTATCATTAGGATGTATTTGCTATGGATGAAACTAAGCTGAAGTGTGAGTTTTTCTGTATATAGAGACCACCCAGTGTAATTCTCACATGAGTTGCTGCTGTTGGCACAACTGTAGTGGCCACTTGTGCTTGTGGATGTGACCTTGCAAACTACAGTTTAACTGGCCGCAGTCTTCTGGGTATTGTCCAAGATTTGTGTGGCATCTAGCCCAGGAAAGAGAGAATTAATATGTATATATTTTCATTATATGTATATACATACATAAGACACATAAATAAT